CACTTGCACTGACCCGGGTCGGTGCACCGTCTGGGAGCAAAGCGCATACTTGGGGAAAGGGCTTCGAGTTTGGGAGTGGTTTCCCCGCTTCGACGTCCACAACTCTCGACTTAGCGAACAGCCAGCCATTGTGAACGTGTCCTTACCATCTTCGGGGTCTGGGGTGGTACCGACAAACTCTGACCATGCGCTACCTCCAATGAAGTACCCGTTACGGGGTCGTGTTAACATGTCTTGGTCAGTCCTGTCCTACCAAGCTCATAAATCCAACATTGGCAGGCTCTGGAAATGCGCACCCATCCTCTTGCAGTCGATTCAGTCATGTAGTCTAAGCGGTGAAACGAACAGGGCTCAAAATGTAAGCTTGCCGATCTGAGCCTACCCAGCAGCCCCTATCGTTGGTGTCGAGGAATGTGGAACTTTATTTATGAAGTCCAGAGGCTGCAAAGGCAGACATTGCAACAACACGGTCGGCATGTTGGGCTGTGATGATCCACGTCTGATGACCTATTGTTTTCCTATGCCCTCACGCCCTACTCTCATGTATCTTGCAAAATACAGAAATACACAGATTTTGCGAAGCATCCGTGACCTCGGTGGCAGAGAGTGCACTGGGGATGGTGGGAGTCGTCCGCGTCAGGGGAAAGATCCTCCGCTCCAGCAAAGTTGCTTGCGAGCCTTTGAGTTTGCCGCTTTAAGATTAGGTATGTATCAACTGCAGACTTCAGTCCTGAGGAAGTGGTCAGGATGGATGCGTCCGGCGCGGGCTTCCAGGCTGGACCAATAGCTGTCGTCAAGGGCGGTGCCGAGATTGATGCCTGCTGCAGACGGGTGTCAATGAAGACAAGTCAAGGCGTCGCTGCCTTCGAGTCTAGATGATAACAGATGTTGCAGAGAGCTAGCAACGCCACACCTCGGGCTTCGCAAAGGGTGCCGATCCGATGCAACAGCTGATGATACTTCTCCTTGAACGGCAGTCAGAGCGAGATGCGACGGGAAGCAAACTTGGAGCCGCCGGGAAAGACGCAGACATTCCACCCTCCAGAAAGATCAGCTCAGTTGCGAGGTCTGCCGGCGGCTTCGGCTCGAAGACCGACATCACATCTTAGATTCGGATTCTCTGGCGTTGGCGAAAGCCGTGGCAGGCTTGGCTCGAGGTTGTTGCAGGCTTTCCCAATTCAAAACACCATCTGCTGAACTATACAAGCTGGCTCTAGTAAACTTGAAGGGAATCTCAAGCGACAATGCCCATGCCCGGCCACGAGCTACAGCTGCAACGCCCAACTCACGAATCTTGAGATACGAATCTTGAGATTAAATGACTTGACAATGGGGCGATTGATGTTCTGCTGCAGTAAGGTGTCATCGCCATCTTCATTCATCGTCGTCACCAGCGTAATCATCATTAACACCGCTGCTGCTGATGCCATTTCCCTTGCTTTCGTCGTTGAGCGTACGGCGGAGGTGGAACTCACTGAAGTGGCGACGGAAGTGCTTCTTGCTGGTGTGTCACAGTATCGCAGCTGGCATGTTCCCAGCTCTGGGAATAGGGTTCTGGCAACCTCATTCTGCCGAGCTGCCGTGGCCTGGGGGCCCAACTTCTGCGCGGGGTGTCTTCTCCAAGAAATGAGTTGTAAAGGTCGTCTCCACCTGCAGCGGAAACCGCTACAGTCGGCACAAATGTGATAAGTACAAGACGGAAGGCAAAGCCTCCAGGCAGAAGCGGGCGAAGTCCACCAGGAAGGGCTGCCCAGCCAGGCGGGGGAAAAACTCGAAATGCTCGGCCAAGGCCTTCGAGGCTTCGCGACACCAAAGTGCGTGAAGCTAAAAAAAGATCTGAGCGGTGGCAAACGCTCTTGAAGCCATTCGGGGGGGCTGAGATGCTCTGAGAGATGTTGACAGCTTGCGGAGCATTCTGGATCGTGCCTCTGCATCAATCGGCATTTGTGCATCGCTCAGTTGCCGTGGAGCCATGAGCCCCGTCAGCCCTCGGAGAAATTGATCTCCTGGGATCTAACACACTGGTGGTCGTGAGGTGCAATGCTCATCCGCCTCCTTGATGATACCGAGTTACGCGCACTTTTGTGGTGCGCTGCTAGCAGCTGCCATGCTATAGGAACTGCTCAAGCCAGCAGGGCATGACTTGGAAGTGCTCCCTCAGCCGAGAATCGCGTACATCTTCCGTAGTTAAGTCTGTCAAAGTCCTTGAAAAACCTGATGCGGGTTTCAGCAGCGTTTTCGCCATTATTACGTAATATGGAAAATTCACAGCGTCTGAGAATGCAGGCATGGAGACTCTTTGGGTCGGAGCTTTCGCTGGAAGACATGGAGCTTGACGCGACGCATGAACTCTGTAACCTCAATCTGGCAAAGGCAAAGACTGCTAGGGCCGCAAGCGCTCCGATGATAAAGGAAGCATGGCACAGCTGCCGCAAAGGTGCGAAAGGGTAGACACTGTGCCCATGCCGAAATCAGTGTAGCTGCGTAGCAGACTAAAGGAAATACCAAGGTGCATCGCACGCAGCATGCCGAAGCCGACCAGGTGCGGAGCCCGGACGGGGCCGGAAGCGACGACCTTTCGCAAGCTTCTTTTATGCAGCAGTTGCATGCACACTAGTTGAACACTTCTCCAGCGCGATGTGCTTTCAGAAATGGATGGATCGGAGAAGGACCTATGCCGGAGAACTCACTCAGTAGCAGGCAAACAACCTTCGGAGCACCGAAGTCTTTCGCATGCGGACATGGACACAGCTAGTCAACATACACCAGCTTTGCAGCACTGCTCGCTATGTTGGAGATACTGATGGCAGGAAAGCCACACTCAAACGCAGCTGCCGCACGCAAGTGCGGTGGCGCTTTGGGTGCCAGCGGCTTCTCAGATATTGACATGGGCTGAACCTGCACAGGATCGAAAAGTGCATAGGGCAGCGGAATTGTCAGCAGCCTTGCCTGCTGCAGTGCGTAGTTCTGAATTCTGCTTGAAGTTGGGGGGTTCAACTCGTCATCTATGTTGGGACCCCACGAACTCGAGAAACCTTGCCACTGCAGTTTCATGTGGGTTCTCTTGGCTGCACTGACCTCTTTCAACTGTCTAGGACCTCTATAGGGTCTGGAGACGATTGTTCGCCGTTGAGCCGCCCAACTCCCAGCTAGCCGAAATCCAAGTATCGATGCACTGGGCAACCGCAGGGAACCACAAACCGAGCCTTCGTAAGCTCAAAAACTCACCCGAAATCGCACATCCACGGTAAGTTTGATTCATTCTGTGTATGTACGCACGCATGGGTTGGCGTCCTCACTCACGATATAGGTCCCGTTGCGCAGTGTACAGGCCTCGCGCGTGCCAACCCATATCTCTACATATATGCAGCAACAGTGCAAACGCGAGCCAAACCCCCGAAAGCAGGGATTGTCGTCGCGAGAGCATGACTCAGTGCCACGGCAGAATCATGTTGTTGTTGTGCTACAGCTGCGAATCGCTACGTCATGTGACTTGAGGAATGCGCCTCAGCACCTTCAGGCTCAGTGAGTTCAGTGGTCGGCGCTTCCAGGCTGGGGCCATCCGGCGACACGAAAACCTCCGTGCACTTCCGCGGTTGAGGGAAGTAGCACTTCTCTTTTACAGAGCCAGGCTGCCGCTTGGGTCATGGAGACTGGAGAGAAGGGCTCTTCATCCGCTCCATCTTCATCCTCTTCCTCTTCGAGCGGACTTTCTCCTGTCTCCTGAAACGGACTGACAAGGAGACCCTTTCAATTTACTGCTCCTGCGTCATGAGCAGTGCATGACATTGCATGCAGCATCTTTTATGCGGCTCCTCGTAGCACGTCGAGCCAGTGAGTTCCATGGCGCCCTTGGCCTCTTGAACCTGAGCCGGAGGCATGCTAGCGCACTCTACACTCTGCACGTCTCCACCGAGGCAGCCGCCTGAGAAAGCGGGATTTGCAAGATGTCTGCCACGTCTTCTGGGGCCACGTTGCGCGCGAGCATGCCTGAATTTACGTCCAGGCTCTTGTGCACAAAAACTCAAGTGCGACGCACTCTGCTGTTGCTGGAGCTAGGATACACTCCTGCCGCTGCAAGAACTGGACTGGACCCCTCCGGTAACAAGATTCATGTCAGCCTTGCTGCACAGTGTCAAGACGCCTGCACCCCGACCACCCATGCACGCATGCAGGGTCATCGTGCAGCTACACCCCCACCATCAAACCCCACAGGCTGTTGTGCTCGACTGCATCTCGCTCTTTCAAATCTCAGTGGTAAGCAAGCACAAGTACGACCGTATCAAGCTCGGTGCCGGCGACCTCTTTCTCAAGCTCAAGAACTCCAGCTGCAAACTGCGAGTCAAGGGACGCTGAGTGAGTGCCGGCGTGTTGTCCTGCAAACTGCAAGCAAGCGGCGATCTCGAACTGAACTCGTCGCTGTCCTAAACACCGCTCTAGTACAAGTAAGTTAAAGTGTCAACCTAACATGTAGAATCCCCTGCGTAATTGCAAAATCCAAATCCCAGACCGTAAATAGAACCCCCGTGTTTGTAGAATCCAAGCGGCCTGAGCGGAAAATTACAAGCAGAACTCTTGCGTTTGGTGATGAAGGCTCAAAGGAGCTCAAAAGGCTTTCAAGCTCCTGGGGTTCTCCGGGGCTGTAAGCAGGGCTGTGACACGTCTGGCTTCTGGACTCCTACCAAGCTTCTGAAGTCAGTGGTGGCTTGACACTGATGAATGGCTCTGATGCTGGATCCGGACTCTTCTTGCGGAAGCTGGGGCGCACATCCTTGGGAGGGGGGGGGCCGGGGGCGGGGGGGGGGGGCCTTTTAATATGAGTGAACATGACAAGTACCGCGTCAGGCGGTCCCGATCCAACTCCATAGATCTTTCTGCAGCGCCAAAGGCCTGTTCCTACCGAGAGCCAAAGAGGCCTTGAGCCACAAGATGGTGAAAAAGCGCGCTGTTGTTGTTCTGCGCGAGAACACAGGCATGGTGCAGGGACATGCCAGGATGGCCCAGCATCGAGTAGATCAGCCTGCTCCAGGCTCAGCACTGCGCTTAACATCAAGAGCTTACAGAAAAAAAACATGTCACCTATGGATCATGAAGCTTCGGCTGCAGCAAGACCTCAAGCATCGGCGAATATCTACGAAGCGTGGGCGTACCATATGCACAGTGGGAAGTAATCAGACGGTGAATGTTTGGCATCGGGCTGCGAACCGTTCTCATCATCTACCAAACCGGCCTAGGCCCCTGAGCCCTAACAGCTGCAATTGCTCTTGTTGCCAGCTTGGGCACCCCGAAGGCGGGCAACGGCTCGTTGGCGCTGACGACCGGCTTGGCCTATACCGCACGATGAGATTTCTGGATTCTGGTCGTATCGACTTCCGCAGAATCGAGAACATAAGTTGGATGGAGCAAAAGCGAGAGTCCACGCCTCGTGCATCGAGCGATGAGATCGGCCCGACTTGCCCGAGTGCGAGCTTCGGCCTTCTGCGGGGTAGGAGGCGGAGGCAGGTGCCCGATGCAGAGTGTTGAAACCGTAACTCGTAAGCTGAAGCCCTTCCAAGGTCACTGCGGCTTCGTCCGGTGTTTGGAGCACTGACATCCTCGGCCTCAAGGCTCAGCGAATCCGAGAAAGCAGACTGCTCGCCAGTCTCCGCCAGTCTCACTTCGAGGATGCTCTCAAGGCACTTGCGCCCGATAAGAATGCACACACTCCTGAAGAAGGACCCCAACTTGGGCTCAAGCCGGGACAGGCATGCCGAAGACTGGTAGCATGGCCTCGGCCTGCGTTGGAATGGCACATCTAACCGAACCACTACAAACAACCTATCACTGCTGCCGACCACAACAAGAGAAAGGACTGCATGCAAAGTGTGTGCAAGACCTCGACTACTAGCTTGAACCTGTCAGCAAACTCAGCTCCGGGCAGGTGTTTGCATGCCTTAGAAAGTAAGCTGTCATGGGTACACAAACCAATAAGGATCACAATTGCTCTGTGGGCGACTCGGTGGTCAAAGGTAGTTTGTCGCAACTTTCAGTCAAAAGACTTGTTTTGCTTGGTCTCCATGCAGCTGCACTGTCTGGTCTCAAGTCCTGTGAAACTCAGCGCTGTTGGCTTTGTTGCTGCTGCTGCGCGTACTCCTGACAACAAATCACCACAAGCAAATGAATCCACTTCACTTTGCCTATTCCGCTTGTACGTGCAATCGCATGCATATCGCTGACCATTGCGACTTGCACATCTCATGCGGCCCCAGCCAAACCCCAGACCAGCTCTGTGGCCACCACCAACTTCGTTTGCAAAATGCCATGCTTGAACAGGTTTGCCTGGAACTCCTTCTCCATTTGCTCTATCTGTTCGAGGGTCGCTGACCTTGGTACTGGCGCCTGCGACACTGGCCTCAACATCAAGCAAGAGCAATGCTACCAACGACATAATGCGTTAAAGCCGAGGTCACTTGATCGGCATGATCTTCGGCTTGCAGAGAACTTCGGAAAGGTTGCCCTTCCTTGCGATTTCCAAGCTGCATGTGCGAGCCAATTTGATGTCCAAAGCTTTCCTTCAAGCCATGCAATATGGTATATAGCGTAAATCACCACCCTGTGCAAGCAGCACGGAAATCGAAGTCAGATATCTCCAACATCGCAAAGCAAAAGCCAAACCTAACTCTGGTTCAACCCAGGGGCTCGGAGTACACGAGACCCGCTTTCGGCCTCCCAACGTGGAGTTGTAAGCTTGGGTTTAGTGCCAATTTGCGAGGTTTTCTTCAGTTTGCACACACGTGCTGGTATGGGGCTGGGTAATGGGGCCTCTTCGGGACGACTCGACAACTCCAACTACCAGCGGCTAGTGGCTAATGCCAGTTAGAGCGAAGGGTGAACGCCGCCACTGCGCGATTCTGCGGAATCCGGAGTCTGTCCCACTGTCCCAGTGCCGAGTGGCAGAATCTCAGGGATCACGGTATGCTTTGCCGCATCATCCATGCTCTCTTGCAGTTCTTGCGGCCGTCAGCTTGAGCAACGAATTTTGCTTCGGAAGTCGACAGCGAGAAGTTCATCACTTACCTTTCGCCGCTGCGAACTTAGTAACTTCGCTCGGCACACCCGGGTCATCAGTCAGTCACTGTTGTAGTGACCGTTGTTGGCACTCCAGGACATCAAACTGACTGAAACATGACCAAGACATGGAAGTCCATTGGAACCTGTACCGTGTCTTTCTGTGAGCTTCCTGCGCGGCTACAAATGCAAATCACGGAAGCTTCGCCGAAGTTCTTTGGGCTGCTGAGGGCGCAGCTGGAAGGCCCTGGCTCTGCCTTGCAAGAGCAACAGCACGAAATCCATATGAGTAATCATTAATATACGATGCCAAGTTGAACGCAGAGCGAAAGCCGTACAGAACGCGTGCCTGTTTGTCATCTAGGCCAAAAGCATGTAATCTAAGGGAGCAACCGGCTTCATGTCGGCCAGCGCCTCGGCATGGGACGGAGTTGGCGATCACCCACGTCTTCAAGCATGGATTCCAATGGCCTCAGCAGCGGTGGCGCCTCCGCCCGCAATGGAACCAACCTCGGCATGTGAGGGCGGAGGAACAGCCAAACATTGCTCATGATATGCAATGCATTAACAATACAGTAACAAACGGAATACTATGGAATACTGTACCATTTTGCGCCTCACCTGTTTTAATTCGACTAATTACGAAGCCGTCAAGCGCTGAGCACAGCGCAGTGCGTGAACGATGAAGGTGTCTTTTGGGTTTCTCCGGCCTGGGGCAAGCGAAGCTGACGTGACGAAGCAGGTGTCTTCAGTTACCTTCCATGTAACAGGGCGGTTTCATTCGCCAGGATGCAAGATGCAAGCGCATGCAAACGTTTCCCTCGCAGAGGTGGAAGAGCAGTTTGCAGATGCTCGCTGCGGAAGCTCAGAGTCCAGGCGGTCCCAGCTCCGATAACGAACTCAATAAGTCCTGCAGTTGCGGTGAGTCGACATCAGCAGGCGACAGCAAACGGGCCGGGCCGACTTAGACCTCTGAGCCTTTGAGACGATTCCGTCAACCGTGCAGAATTCAACGAACAAGAACTTGTCAACAATTCCCCAAGCCGTCTCAAGACTCCTCAGCCACGCGATCGTCTTTGCTGTCCCCACTGTTCCCTGGAGCCGTAGGTGATGGCTCTTGTATCGAATCATTGCCCGAGCCCGGGCCCCGACCCTACAACTGGCCGAACAACTCAGAAAACGAGGCTTGTGGGCGGCTGAAAACTGCTTGCAATTAGACTCTAACTATACGGAGACCCGCGGCCTGCAGCACCGGGCAGATCTCTCAGCTACCGCTTTGGACTCTGGTACAGTTATGCCGAGGCTGCTGCTTTTCTTTTCCCGCTTATTCAGGATTTGCTCCTTGGGACAAGGCCAGGCCGGTGCATCGCCCAGCCCGAGGAAAGTGAGACGCCGCAATGCTGTTTTGGAGCACCATTTCTCTCTGAATCTACCACAACCAAAGCGGCAGCACGGAACGTTGGCCCTGCCGTCTGGACTGCACGGCTGTGGGTCCCGACCACTCGATCACGAGCCGCCTTGCAGTTCCACGAGGGAAGGTGAAGGGTGAGCAAATTTCCACGAAGGCCTGTCTGGCTTGTTCCGACTGCTTCAGCTTCTCCTGCAGCTCCTGCTTCTGCTCGACCAACTTCCTGACGAAGGGCGGCTCAAGTCGGGCCATCGGCTGAGTGCCGCACGTGCCCTGCACTTCACTGCTCAGCGTCGGACTCGCGCTTGCGGTTTGTCCCTGGGAGTTGTGTAGTCACAGGCTATAGCGCTACAGCCCCTGGGTCCTCGGACCTGACCAAGGCAACATTGCTGAGGACAGCTCGATCTCGCTCTGCCCGCAGCTCAGCATTCTCCTCCTACCAGGTGAAGGAGGCACATCGTTGGCCGGCGACGGCCAGCACACGAAAATCTTGCCAAGCAGGAGCTCATTCAGATGGCGTGCTTCCACAGACATCCCTTGGCTGCAAGGCCTCCAGCTGTTGCACTTTGGCTGTCAGGTCCTGGGATGGTTTTAAGAAGATGTCAACATGAAGAAACATTCCGGCAACTGCAGAGAACAAGTGTTGCAAGCATCTTCACTGCAATTGACCGCGCAGTCAAAACTGCAAAGCGCTTCCGCCGAAACCGTCCTGGAGCTGCTGCGCATAACCCGCGATCTCCTTGGTTCCAATTAAAGGTTCGTCCCGCATCATGTTAACTATGGAGCCGACATGAGCTGAGGGCTGCAACTCTCTATCCAGCTGAGAGCCAGACACTGTCCAGAAGCTCAGCAGCATCATCCTGCACACTTCGCTTCACTAAACGGCTTTGGCTCTCTCTGGGATAAGTACCCATCCACAACAGATCTTGAAAAGGAAATTCGATTAGAACCCAGTCCTCGAGCTGACGATCCTGCAACAAGCAGAAGAGCAGCCAAACATGGTTCTCAGACCAAGCATCCCCTAAATTGATACTTCCATTCAAGCTGCTGCACATGTTCGATTCTCGTTTCGCGGCGCGCCTTCATGTGCTCCGCAAGATCTGCTAAGGCCGAATGCCTGAAATCTTCACTGTCTTCAACGCTTGCAACGTTCTGCGCATCGTAGGGCTGGCACGCATGCAAGAGCTCCTCGTCCTTCCCGGAAATGACCTCGACAGGGCTCAAACTGCAGTCACAGGCAGTAACAGGACGTGGAATGCGGGACGGACGCCGTCTTCTTGGAGGGCCTTTGGTCAACAGAGCAAAGTCGATGTGAACCACGCATGGCCGCAATTCTCTTTCTGTGAACACACCCTGAAATTGACGCCTGCAAACAAAACCGGGCGAGCCATGCCTTGCAACCGCTCTCGCTTACCGCGAAATCCGGAAGTGCCCAGAAACCCAAATACCTGCCCATAAATTGGACAAACACATAACATCCTGCAGATTTTGGAGTCAGCGGGTCCCACGCGTAGAAGAGCTCTTCCTCGTGGGCGCGAGCCTCGACGCGCAGTGACTGCAGAAAGGTCTGCATATGTCTGGATTTAACTTAACCCGTCAAACTTCCGAAGCTTCTCCATCCTATGGCGTCAGGTAAGCTCCGCACCAGGTCCCTCTGCTCGCAGACCACAGCAAGCTCTTCTTGCAAGTCCTTGAAGTGCAGAGAGAAGGGCCCCTTCGGTCCCTTTCTGCCCTTTCTTTTCCCGGCCTCGGAGATGCCTTGGAGTCGGCTCAGCTCCTCCTCCAGCCTGGGACCTCAGCCGGAGCCGACGACACAGGCGCGAACGACACCTTCTTCGCTACGCAACTATGCCACTAACAGCTTCACAGCGTCTGCGGAATTACGCTAGAAAGCGGACGAACGATGCAGTTTTGGCTCTGGTCGAATCTGGCAGCTCTTTGGCTGTGCTCCTGCTGTTGCAGCTCGATTTCTGCTGACGGTCTGACGGAATGGGCGCACTATAGCCTGGCTGTGGACCCACAGTCCTGTCCGCAAGTTGCTCCATCTGGTGTTTAACTTGGGTTGCTGCACACCGCAACTTGCTGACCGTAGGTACTGTGAAAACGAGTTCTTCAAGAGGGTCCGGGGTAGTTCGAACAAGTCCTTGTCCAAGACTAGGCAGCCTCGCAGCAGCAACGGGTTCGCGCTGCCACCGATTTCCTTCCCGCCACTGGCCTGCAAATTTGGCAGCCCTTCTCTTCACACCAAACCAGAACATACAACATCTGCAACACATGGATCGCATGCAATGCCAACTGAAGGACCGACTGCACTGCAGCTCTGCAGCAAAGCTTTTCAACCTCTTGTGCACTTCGCCCACCTGTACTTCGAACGCAAGCATGATGCTGCTGTCCTGTGGGGAAGGTCCCGTGCATATTCATCTGTGTGGGATGATCGGATTGTGTTGGGTTCCGTGGACGGGGAGTGACACTGATTTCAAGACTGAATTTTCTTCATCTCCCTGACTCGACCTTCTTTTCCTGCCGGATGGCGAGAACCACTGCCCTGATTCTCGGCTCATGGTGAACAGCACGTGAAGGCCCCCAATAACTCGCAGCTACATTGCCGCTATGATGTGGCAGGGCTCCGGAGATCCTCAACTCTGCCACTGAGCAGATTCTCGGATGTCCTGTGGGGTCTGCGCCGGAATCACCCAGGAGCGAACCAGGATGCAATCCTTCAAACCGGCACCGTCGAGAATCGCCGCTAGAAGCTTTCTGGCCAAATGCAACAACAGCAAAAAACAGCAAAACGGGAACACAAGGAACAGATGGTTCGGCCTCAAGAAAAGAGTAGTCAAGTCTCAGTTAAGTGGAAGTGAACAATTCCAGTGACTAGTGACTAGTGCTTTGGTTAAGATTGCCGCCGGTGGCTGCGACGTCTGCATTCCTCCCGTACCTTTGGGGATTCATGTCTCTGAGTAGGTGTAGGTGTGTGTGTGTGTGTGTGTGTGTCTTTTTGTTTTTTCAGATAACCTGTCCTGACACACGCACACACATACATAATCATACGTATATATGTATACGTATACGTGCATACCTACCATCTTGTCTACCTACCCATCTAGCGGCCTACCTGCCAACCTACAGTACCTACTTATCCACGTGCGCAAATGCACTCGTAATTATCTATCTATGTGGATGTCAATGTGCTTGTAATAAACGGAAAACATCGAGAACCTCTCAGCCAGGCTGCACCCGCACCAGCATAGCCAGCATAGGCCACATAGGCTTGCCGAGTTCGAGCACGAAGGACTGCTTCGTTCAGCCTGGGGTCACCAGGGACATTGCAATCAATTCTTACCAGGCCTCTCGTTGGTGCCAGCACATGCCCTACACGCATACAGGACGCCGGAGATGGTGCAAATTGATCATGCAACGAAATCCGACCGCAAAGTGCAATGCTCATCGTCATCATCATCATCATCATCATCCCCACACAGTGCCCCTTGCTGGCATGGCACCCGCTCGGATAGCCTTGAGCTGATGCGGCGTAAAACCGCCAGCCTCATTTTGCAGTACGCTGACATCCAGGTTTCACGCAGCAAAATTTAGCTGCGCATACATGAGACAGCTTAACAAGCGCGACACACCACATACATTACTCTGCGGTTGAAATTATGCCGCGGCAACCGACCTACAGAAATTCTGAAGGACCGGTTGTAGGGCCTCAAGGAAGATTCCTGATGAGGTGAGCTGTGTTCCCGTATGGTCACGGGGATGATAGTTTGCCGGGCACGGGTGGCACAGAATCTTTAGAGCTCCCCAGAGCAACTCTCAACGTTGCCTCGGCGTGCTTGAGTCCAAGGTGCGCTCCATGTATGCCAGGCAGGTGGCCTGGCATCGAGAAGTCTGGCGCAAGGTATGAATGTTGCGGATTGCACACAAACTGACACAGAACCGTGCCTAAGCTTAACTGGTTCGATGATGGAAAGTAGAATATGGACTGGCTAGCAAAGAATGCTGGGCAGCACAATGATGCAATCTGTCGAAGAAGTCCTCGCTGCAAGCCGACCCATACTAGGTTACTAGGCTTCGCCCCTCCATTCAGCCACAGCAGAACCCAGGACTGGACATTTGGTGAGCTGCCACTGCGATTGAGTCCGTTGGGCCGGACTGCACATACTGCACATCCCTCTGCGGATCTGAACAAACTCTGTGCACGTGCCACCTCATGCACACATCCGTGCAAGTCCAAGTCCACCGCAGCCACACATGTCCTGCAGCATTCCACGCTTGCCAGAATGTCTTCCATGCCGTTCGGGAAACCATGCAAGAGTGGCACAGGGAGCGTGAAATGCTGTGCGGCTGTATCAATCGGCCAGGAAATAGATAAGTCCTGTGTTGCCAACAGTCTGGTGGGGCGACTGCTACCCTGTCCTTACCGGACCGTGCCCGGCAGATTCAATCGAGTATGTGCTGCGGTGTGCAGAATTGCTTCAGCCAGGCTGCTGCCAATGCCTGGCGGTGGGGGCTGCAGGTGCATGCGAATCCTCTCCCGTACACATGCAAGATTCTTTGTCTTGGTACTTCGTGAGGGCCGCAGCCTCAGGAGACGCAGCCTGCGCCACCTAAGATGCATAGTGCAGCCCCGGGGGGGTGTCTAAACGGCGACGGTCCTGCACTATGTACGGCAAAAATCTCAGCATTCTAGCAGTGATGCTTCGCGAAGTTGTTCTGGCAGCATCGGCTGCAATGATTCTTTGTCTGGGATTGTAACTCAATGTCACAATATCGGATGATGGCCGTAAAACCAGCCCTTGACCCCACACCAGGGCGTGTCCAAAAATCAAGACCTCGAATAAGCAGAATGCGCTGCATGCTTAAGTCTCAGGTGCGCCATGTGTCCACTCCGGCTCCGGCAGAGCCAGCTCAGAAAGCCGGCCGGCATCGGGCACCTGAGTCTCTTCGACTTGCATTTTCCGTGTCCCGTGTCTGACACACTTGCTTCCGCTCGCAGCCAGCATGTTACAGCTTTGGTCCGGACATCTCAGGACCATAGCGGTCCAAGAATCACACTGGCAGTGGCACAATCAATGCTGGCCTCCATTACCCTGTCGCTTCGCAGGAAGATCAGCACAGCCCAGCCCCACGCCACATCCACCTTGGTGCGACGAGTCTCTGTACTGTGCTGATCGAGTCGGTTAGGGTGCTCTGCCAAGGAGCTACCTGGCCTTCTCCACCCCGTTGAGTGATCGTGTGGCCCACCAATACGGAGTGTGGCCGCACCTGGCAGAACAACACCCTAAACGAAAGCTGTGCCTTCGCCGTGCCTCAACGTGCACAGTCACGCGAGGCTCTGGCCTTGTCCAACCAAGTTCGCAGCTCGTATTGCTCCTCAGATGAAGCACACTCCGCCCACATGCATGCATCGGAGTTTGTCTTTTGCGACCAGGAGAAGAAATGCCTGGCAGGCTGCTAGGGGCTCAAGCGTGCGGAGTACTCGCAGGACCTACCAACGGAGCGCTGCGACTTGTCACCCTCCCTCCATTAAGGTCTCTCAAGGCTCAACGTCTGTGCAACCGTGCACGAGCCTGTGACCGGAGAATAATCCGATCCACTTTGGCAGCAGCATCTGCTAAGCAGCCTTTCCTGGTCCAACGGATTCAGGCTGACCGCACCATGGTCTTGCAACAGCCACAGATCGGTGTAGAAACTGGTCGCCAGGTCACTGAACCAAGCGGTAGCGCGCATGCTCGAAGTAGCGTGCCAAACCTCTGTATAGTCCGGATCGAGGCAGGTCACGGAACGTGGTCACGCTCTCTGTCTCTTTCTTGCTGGCGATGGGGCCTAGCTCTCTCTTCTTCCCCTTCTTCTGCCGGGCATGAGGGGCTGCTTAGACCCCTCGGCCACTGGGGCCCACCCATGTTTTGTGGGGACTTTGGAGGAGTGTGAGAATGGTTTGTTCCCCCTGGACTTCATCTTACATGATTGTTTGTTTGTTTGGTAATAGGCTAGGCTATACCATGTCCCCGGGAAGCTCAAACTGTATTAAAAAGATTTGGATATTCAAGGGGCCGGTTTATCAAAAGAAGCAATACCACCGAAAAGGGCATGATTCCGGGATTCCGGGTCCCCCTTGTGTCTCTTCTCAGTAACTACACAAGCTTCAGACAGCCAGGTATTGTGAGCAAATTGCATTACAATCGCGTAATCAACATCACCAAGGTCTGGCTGGCCCTCGTACCTGGCTTGTATTCTTCTTCCTCTCTTCTCGCTCTCGTCATCTTCTTACGCGCCCGACGGGCCGCCCTAGGCCCTAGGCAGCAACCCAATCCTTGAGTTGTCGTTGATCTCACTCTTTTTCACAAGGTCCTGGACGAAAGACTCCCTCTGACCCTGCCGAATAGGTCACGAAGGAAAGCGTGTGCAGCGTCAGGTCAGCGCGAGTGCGAGTTGTAATTCCGCCGGGATGCTGATCAGGGTTCTGGACTCGGAGCCGCACTCGAAGGCCTGGACTGACGGGCACAGAGCTCCGCATGGAGACAGCATTTCGGGAAAAATGACGACACCGTGACGCAGTGAGATCGGGCACATCTTCGCAAGTGTTTTCACACGCCGCGAAGTCTTGTTCCTGCTCATGGTCAGCGTGAAAGCATGTCATCTGATCGTAGCTCGCTGCTATCAGTCAGACTTCTTGTTCTCTCCGTTTGTGGCCTCAGCGACAAAGACATCAGAAAAGCTCTCGATGGTGATGAATTGCTACGACGGTCCCGTTATTGGCAGGTACACTGATGTTCTCTGATTCAGGAGCC